CAGTTACTGTTATTTAAAAGCTTTGATCAGTATACCATTAAACTTTATTATTAAAAATTATTCACAGCTTGTATACATATTTACAATTTAAAACTTCAGTTTTTATATTTAAAAAATAAGAAACAAAAATACAACTTCTAAGTACAATGAGTAAGCGTGCACATATGGCGCTGCCAGGTAGCGGGAGGTGAACTGATTGTCCGCTGTAGATGTGGTGGCAGACAGGTAAACTAATAGTCAGCCACAACCCCTTCCCTCAGAACTAAAACCTTCGAACGTTCCTCTCTTGTCCGCTCCACTGCCATCGGGAATTCCCCGTCATCTAATTTCCGCCGTGGCTCTTCCCTGACCTTAATTCAAATACCTTATTTTCCAAAACCTTCTCACATCTCCAACAGACGCTCTGGTAAACCCGTATTGCCTATCAGGCACGGCAGGGATGTAAATAAATAAAAAAAACAGACGCTCTGGAATCATAAAATTATATTTTATGAATGGAATTTGAAAAAAGGTTAATGATAGTTCTCAGTGCCGGCCTTTGCTAGCCGATCTTCTGGGGTGCTCGCCACTTGTTAAAAAAAAAAATATAATGCGTATTGAAATAATTAATTTAAACCTATCAATAAAGAAAATGTATTAGAGAATTGTTGAATGAAATAAAATTCAAAGATTGCATACTATATAACAGCTAAAGAAATAAAAAAAAATTTAGTATGGAGGGGGGGGGAGCTGATGTTAATGCCGAGGAGGGCCGACTGTCTAAGGCCGGCACTGGTAAAACTCGTTTTTTAAATTTTTATTATACAAATCAATAAATGTATATATGCTTTTCTTTCTATGTTTGTTTTCATTAAAATTATATTTATTCCCGTGGAGCACAAGCGGAGAGAGGGGACTTTCGGGCTGATCTTCCACCTCCCACAAAATGGTAAAATGTAACCATGTTTTATAAAAAATTATCTTTTAAAATATTGTTGTTAGTGTAGTTACATTTATTTATTTATTTGTTTTTATTGTTGCCTCTACCCTGCAGGGTCATTGGCAACACTTCCTATTTATATTCTATTGCAGAACTTTATTATTTTTAAAAATTGTAAGATTTTTTCCACGGCGTTTTCGTTGTCACTGAGGTTTTCTTTTAGGCTCTGAGCCATATCGAGATTTTTCCTTACATTCTTAAATACTGGGCTGTCTTGGATGATGTTTTGGACAGTTCTTTCCTACCTTACAGCTCTCGCAGGTCGGTGGGTCTAGTCCACTTAGTAAGTATGCATGTGAAAATTCACAATGCCCAATTCTTAAGCGGCAGAGGACTGTCCCTTCTTTTCTGGAGCGTCGGTTTCTTGTTTTCCATTTGGAACAGTGGCTTATTATTCCTTTTAATTTGGTTTCTTTTTGTTGCCATACGTTCTGCCACATTACCCGCAATTTTTTTTTATATGATGTATAAAATCGTCTATCGGGATTTCTTTAATTATAGCTGTTGAATTTCTATCTAGTCTTCTCGCCATATTTGCTGCTTTGTCTGCCTGTTCATTCCCGATAATTCCGCAGTGTAAAGGAACCCACATGAATATTATTTCCTTTCCCTTTTCTGTTAGTTTCCACCAGATATTTTTAATAGATCTCGCCAGTTTGGTTGTGTTACATTTAATAAGACTTGAAGAATCACTTAAACGCCATTTCATATAGATAGTTTGTATCTTTCTTTTTTTTCCAAAGTAATTATCATAATTTATATGAAAAGCTTTCGGGCTGAAGCCCCTCCTTCCACAAATTAAATCCTGGATCCACCAGTTCCGGGAAGTTTTTATAATTGGTTTAGTGAAAATAATCTAAACCTTGTTTGTATTTTTTAAATTTTTATTTACTTGAGCTTGCTTATTATTCTTAAGGGACCTTGTCCTAGAATAATGTTTGTCTCTGTCTACCTATCTACATCCAACGACAGTGAATGGTTAGTTTGTAAGTGGTATACCCCAACTCTGTCTGCTTGTTTCTATACAAAGTGCGTTATAAAAGAAAAAGTGGAAGCTGGTGTACCAAATAGATTATAATCATTTAGTGAAATAGGAAAAGAGAAAAGGGCGGCTGATGGTGGATGGTGTATCCTCTATCGCCCCTACTGAATGCATTACAGCTCCGCCCGGATCGAATAAATAATGGAGTAATTTATTCCAACCGTCTGAATAAAATCCAGTCCTCTCTCTCTTCCTTAACTGGTCTCTTTGCGGCACAGCTAACAATGCCTCTACCAAACAACAAGGCTCACCAATATAGAAAAAATCTACAAAGCAATACTCTTTTATGATACAATACTTGTATAATATGCTATTGGATGATCGTTAAGCAATTATAATATAAAGAAGACAATCATAAAAAAAAATGGATCGATATAAAACAAATACTTGTTTAAACCAATCTTCAAATGCTTTATAAGTACAGTAATTTCTCAACATAGGATAGAATAAAGATCGTTGGTGCTTCTCACATATAATCTATTTCTCAAGACAATTATCAACTAAATCTCTCAACCTCAATAAATCACATTGGTCGTGAATCTTTACGTAATGTGGCAAAGGCTTAAGCATCTTTCGAATAAGGAGGAGGGAGCAAGTGGGACTCGGGAAGTACGAAAAATAGAGGAAAATCTCTGGTAGATAAATGATTTTAAACTCCATAATATTATACTAATTAGTTAATTATTATTACAATTTATAAATATTTTTATACGAAATACATTATACCATAAGATGGGATAACTTTGGGACTGGGAAGGTAACTTCGAGACAGCAGGTAAAATGTAGTTTGTGGTGATTCCGTGGTGACTGTGTTGGTTCAGTCAGCGTGGACAGCGCATATACTGCGCTACTACCTTGCGGCACACTACTCTTGGGGCACAAGCGAAAGTTTCATGAAAACAAGAATTTTGAAAAAAAGCAATGGGAATTAATAAAACCTAACTGCACAACGAATGTAGCGAACTAGAGTTCTCAAACTGCCGCAAGGTAGTAGCGCAGTACTTGCCTATCACAATGCACGTTTTTGCATACTGAACCAACACAGTGTATCCACCACGGAATCACCAAAAAAACTAAATTTTACTTCCTGTCCCAAATTTACCCCATATTACGTTATGTAAAGAACAAACATTTTCATAAATAATTTTCTCAAATTATCGGCAAATCTTTTGTATTGCATTGTGTTTTTATATATTACATGTCTCAAATTATTTAGGAAAGAGACAAGACCCCCCCCCTCTACCCCTCCTCCTCTCACCTGCCTAGGCCTATGTTTTGTGGAATATTGCCAATCTCAATTTCTACTCAATACTTGAAAAACGTTACAATTGTATCGACGATCGGCTACAATATTATATTTTTTTTCTGTCGCGAAACAGCCCTGAAGGACTACGCGACTATGATACTGGTTTCTTTTTCAGTTTCTTCCTTTCTGCCCATCTCTGCTTGAGAATATCGCTAAATATTTTCTTCCTCTCCTCCGTCCACTTCCTCCTGAACGGAAGTTCCTTACTGTCCACCACATGCACCGCACTTTTCAGGAATTTCTTGTATTCTGTCCTATCCTCACAATTATAAATATAATTCTATAATAGTCTTATCCCAAGAGGAGGAACCAACAGGAAGAGTCTGCATTTTCTGTTTCATTTGTACCGTATATCCATCGTTAAACTTATATCCCATAGCCCTACTGAAAATCCTCTTGTTTGACCTCTCTTTGGTCATCCTTTGCATGTGTCCATAAACAATATTATTTATTCCTGTTATGATATATTAAAATCAATCGACTTATGATAAATTATTTTTAGGCCAAGTAGACAGTATATTTCGTTTATACAATACTTTTTAATGGCCATACGAAGAGGGCAGTGATCATTTTTAATTGTATTGATTTGCACAACTATATACAATCGAAAAAAAAATCTCTTACCTTCTCCTATTTAGTGTGGCCCGAAATCGGTCTTGGTCTTGCACTTTGCAAGAACAAGACCCAGACCACCAAACTGTTGCAAGACCAAGACCAAGACTGTTAAAAAAATCGATTTTTTGAATAAAAGTTAAGACAAAATAGTTACTAATACTTGATAATTTTAGTTACTATATGTAAAGAATTGGTATAACCAATATAATTTTAACTCTCCTAATTTTCCGTTCGAGCTTAGTTAGGTTTCTCTTATCTAAAATATTACAGTAATATCTCTATAGTAATAAGCTAAGTAACTGCAAGACTCTTGTGCAAGACCAAGACCAAGATCAAGACTGAGCCCGCAAGACCAAGACTCGTCTTGGTCTCGCATTTGGCCAACACTAGTCCTATTCGATCTCCTGCTTTAACTCCTTTTCCATCTCCTACTTCATATTCAAAGTTCCACAACTATGTAAAATAACTAGTCTCTGTAATTACAATAGCTATTAACAGTCAATTGCCGTTTTGTACTTCTTCATGCCACACTAATGTGCATAATTTCTGAACTCTGTTATTATACTAAAGGCACTTTAATCCCGGGATAAAACTATTTTTTCTTTTCATAACCCTCCGTTTCGACGAATATTTTGTGAGTTTTGATAAGTTCTAAACGATTCTAACTTAGATCAACTATCGTTGCGAAACAAGTCAATTCCGACTTCCGGCTGTTTCACAACTTGCCGTATCTGCTGTATCCATAAGAAGTTCTGTAATGAGAAATTAAATTCAATAATTTATTCAAATCTCTCCGAGTTTTCATTATGAATTACAATTGAAATATAATTGTATTTATCGATTAAACGAAATTCATGAAACTTATCACTGACTATGTATAAGTGACCATGTTATGAAGAAATATAACGTGCAAGGAGAGCATCGAGAAGGATGTCCATTAATCAATCAAGATTTTTCCATAATCTAAGGATAAGATGAATCGTTTTATGTTGGAATAAATAAAATAATAAAATTGGGAGACAGAATGGCGACAGATAGAATGGAAGGGGTTAAGGGAGATGCCCCTCCCCAGTGTAGTGGGGGGACAGGGGAGTCAGTCGCTCCGTGGCCAGTTGCTCGGAGTCATGGATTCGGAGATCTCTCTCGAAGATGGCTACCTCCAGTGTGCTCCACCGCCTTGCGAACAAAACATACCCGCCAACACTCAGTTCCCATACACGTAAGTCTATCAGTAATAGATTTCAGTATTTCTAAAAAAACCTCATCCGTCCGTACTTGTACATATTCCCACAATAACGTGATAGAAGTCCTGATCTTTTACATCAGTAGTTAACGACGGTCAGCTCATTGATACTATGATCGACTGAAATCCGAAACCATATCAGCTGAACTATTACAAAACGTTAAACGTAAGATCGGTTATCTCATTTCATTGAAGTTCTTTCGTCCCGTCAGGAAAAAAAATGTGCAACAGGTTCCCTAACATTATCTTCTACTCGTGATTGGAATCACAACTTGATATAATCATATCCATTACAAAAAGTGTCCTTATAAAAAGCTGTTGTAGGCTTACTCGATATATTTCATCTATTATCTCTAACCATACTCAAAATTAAATTACTAATTTAATTATGTAGACAGCAATGTGATATAAAACCGTAACTGTCTTATAAGATGAATAAAAACTATATCTTATTATCCTTAATTCGTAGTATTATATCATAACAAGAGCCCTCCTCATTTCAGCAATTAAACAAGTGACATTTGGAGTAGGTTTTTTTTTTTTCTGTATCCAGTCGAACATCGGATTTCAGTCTACATTGGATAACATTATTCCTCCTGAAGAAAATTAATCCTCCTTGTTTAAAAAATAATAGCTGATAAGTAGTTAGCGTTTTCATACAAAGACATATATGAACACATTTGGCATATATGATATGATTTTTATACTAATATCGCGGAATTTTCTTCATTACTAAATTCAGTAAAGCATCATTTCTTTTTTATAAATTTATTATTAAATAAAGAAACATTTTCACAAAAAAGTTGCTGTAATCTTCAAACAAATAAATAGAATAACTGAATAAATAAAATATTGTAATCAGAAATGTCTACTAATAGATTGTCATCTTATATGTTGGTATGAGAGTCGTTTAAAACGCCAGTCCCTCCAACACATTTTTTAGAAAATATTTTTTTTCGAAATTCAAGGGTTTGCCGATTGCTTATACGGAAAGGAGATTTTTTAAATAAATTTATATATTATAACTGACGCGTACATTTAACTGTGACACTGCCTATGCATGTCAACTCTTTTTTATACGTTAAGAATCGAGCTAGGAATATGACAGTTACACATTTCATTATCTTTACAGCTTTGACTAAATTCTTATAAAATAAAATTATTTAATGATCATATTGTTGGAAAAATATCGATAAATCATTCCTTGATATGAAACTATCCAGATTGAATAATGTTAAAAGGTAAATTTTATTTATTTATTTTAAAACTGATATTAATCTCAGTTAGGAGCGGTTGAAAATTATGGAAATCGTTTTCCAGACAGGACCCCCTGTAGATTCTTGTAGTTGAATTTAAACACTAGGTTCTCTGATTTCCCTTTAAAAGTACTTTTGACCAATGGAATAAAAAATAATAGAAAAATAACCTAATAGACTTTTCTTTCCTAGACAATTTGATTGGTTTTAGTTTTATTTTAGTCAAAATTTATCTACCACCACCGGAAGTTCAAATCATTGTCTGTTGGGACAATTAACTAAATTTGATTCCCAGTCGGTTCCCAGTTCGAATATTTTGAAGGTTGTGTTTAAAAAAAATATATCATTAATTCAATAAAAAAAAAATGATTAACTGGCCCTGTGAGGGATATTTTAAATGAATTAGGCAGATTTAAATGCTTATCAGTAATCGTTAGTAAAAAAAAAATAATAATAAAAATTTAAATTGTACCAAGAGGAGTATATTCTTCATCACGATACTTATTTATTTTTATAATTAAATAAAATAAAGAAATATATGAGAAACGTCCAAGATAACCAGTGTAGTTATGAGAATAAGAGATTTGGTATTTGGACTCTTAAAAGAAGAATTTACTCATTTCATTGGTGGTATTAGTTGAAACCTAATCCAAAATACTTTTGACCCATCATAGATATTTATCTTATTATTGTAAATATCCAAAACTCCACCGAAAAGTATAAATTTATTATTATTCATATATTTACCATAATCGTTATCACTGCCAAAAAGGTCTGAGTAACATTATCCTTTTTTACTATTATATATATATATATATATATATATATATATATATATATATATATATATATAGTTTGTTCGTAAAAATAAAATATAATGTGATAAGTTTAAAAGACAATAATTATTCAAGAACTAGTAGATTTAAAAAACAAAAATTAAATTAAGTATTTTATTAAACCCAATTTACTCATTTTATAACTGAATTTAATTCATTACAGGGTTTCTTTTTAGCTCCAATTTCTTATAGGGACGTTTGACTCTGTAAAATGAAGACAAAAAAAAAAAGGATTAACGGTTCCAGGATTTTAAGGGTTTGATTTCTGATAGCTTATACTTTAATGTATAAATGATTTATTTATTCCTTATATATTAAGGAAGAGTAGCTTTATTTATTTATTCCTCTTAAGAGTAGCTTAATATATGTGCTAGTGGACGGTGCTGAGGCTGTCGGTGTGTCCCTGGCCTGATCGAAGCTCTATTTTTTTAAATTCTAGCTTTGAAGAGGATCCCATGGTTGATAATAAAAAGAAAATAACGGGATCGAAACGTCAATAAACAGAAGAAATGAACATTAATTAGTTTATTAAATAATAATTGAATGACCTTATTCCCAATAAAATAGTGAAGTTTGAATTTATATATATATATATATATATATAAAATAAATATTTATTTTACTATTGTAATAATAATTAGCGAATTTTGTTATTAAATTAAAATATTTTGGTCGGGACCTATCGAAAGAGGGATCGAGTCTGCTTAAGCATTACGAGAATGACCAAGAAGAAACTTTAACTTATAATGTAATGACTACCGCTATTAATATGAATTGAGTGTTATTTAACAGTAGTTTTTGTTCATGTGGAATGATTAAGGTTGTTGAGTGAGTAATAGTTTATACCAGGCTTTGAAATTGATAGTTATTTTTCCACAAAATCATATAACAATTATTAGATTTTATTTTTAATAAAAATAAATTTAAAAATAAATCTATCTTTGATGTTTATTGGTTTGATTAAAAATAATGATCAATCACTGATTGATACGGTTTTACATAAATAATAATAATTAAATTGTGATCAAAAACATTTAGAACAGAAAATAAAAATCGCCTTGTACACACAAATTAAATAAAATGTTAATATCTCTGAAATCGGTTTAATCGTTCACGCGGTACCTGCACTATATATATATATATATATATATATATATATATATATATATATATATATATAAATTGTAATCCAAAATTTCTAATTAATTTCGAAAATAAAGATGTTCTGTTGCTAATAGTTGACAACAATATTCTCCACCTACAACTCCAGACTCAAAATATATCATAGAGATTACAAACAAATTATATTTCTGATTAAAAAAAATATTACTCAAGAATTATTGCTAATTGTAAAAATTGTGTTCAAAAACAATGATCGGGGTATGATTTTTATCATTTATGGTCACAAATAAAAATCACTTATAATAAAAATCATTGAATGCTTTTAATGCTTTTAAAAATCCAGATAAAAATTTTGATCAGATTTGATTTTGATTTTTTTAATTATCGATTTCAAATCCTGCTTTTCACTATCCTGCCGTTAATTGGTCTCAACTCTAAAACAATGTAGACCTGACTCAACCTCCCTTAAAACTGTTTCAAATCGTTACAATCCTGAGATAAAAAATCTTGACGATTCAATCCATCTCGTACGTTGTGTTAGGGAAACATTGTATCTCGATTATTTTAGCTGTCACAATATATTTCTTAAAATTATAGGCTACAGATTTTTCGGCGGTTAAAACATTGAGATTATATTTGCAACGTACAAGGCTACGGGAAAGAACATACTTGGGGTATAAGTTGAACAATGGAGCAACCGAAACAAAAAAAAAAAAAAAATAACATTTTGTCATTATATTCACACTCAGAATGTAAATTTATACAGAATTGTAACCAATTACTATGCACATAAGATAAATATTAAAAATAAAGAAACTAATTGTCTCTTGAAAACTTTCCTCTAAGGTATTATTTTTTTGATAATCGAAGTCACATTCGAATAAGACCTTTAAAAATGAGACTTATGTATCGGAGCCCGGACCAAAAAAAGAAACGCGATATATGTAATTTATTTTATTAATAAATTATAGAGAAATTCTTCAAATAAACCCTCGAGTTTCTATAATGCAGATAAACAATTAACCCTTCAAAGCTATCAAATCAACCCTATTCAGGTATCATCGGATGTCAAAAACCAATATAACATATATATGAGTTGACAGAATGACTAACTCCAATTTCAACGTTTTTTATTATTAATTTTAGTTGTATTTCTAGTGAGAAAATGCATACATTTATTCACAGTGCTGTATTTCAACATTGCAATTATCTACTCTGGAATAAACTTACTCTGTGAGTGTGCAGATATAAAGTTTCCAAATAGATATATCACTAAAAGGACTTAACTAAAAATATTAAAATTGGAGTTAGTCATTCTGTCAACTGAAAGGCTCATATGTAGACCGAATACAACACATCTCCTAAAGACACATTCAAAGTTTTTATTCTTTTATAAAAAAAAAATAAATGCATATATATATATATGTAATGTTTATCGGTAAAAGGAAAAGGATGTCGCAGTAGGTTAAAGGCTCTACTGACCATGTCTGGCTATAGTAGACATTTGTTTTTTCTTTCCCATCAGCTATTAGTAATGTTGGGAAATCTGAAAAACCTCGAGATATCCCAGTGCTTGCCTAACCATTATGAAGTTTTGGGCCTGATCTTTGAGTAGTTTTAGGGTGACATAGGGTTTCTGACCACATTACCTCTATTTGAGATTATTGCTGAAGACATTGTAGACCGTACCTAGAAAGGAATGGATCCAAGCAATACTATATTTTTAATAAAATACCATTCCCCATTTATTTTTTTAAATACA